GAAACCTGTGTGTCTATCTGCCTCTCTCTCTTTCTCAAATAAATAAGTAAATTTTTTTATTGTTTAAAAAAAGTAGTAGTTTTAAAATGTTTAAAGTAGACCTGGAAGTCAATCTTAGATGAGCAGAAGAGGAAATTTTACATCTTTCTGTGTCTGTTCCTCTCTAGATGTTGAGAATCTTGAATGTAAATCTTGAGAGAAGTCTAGAAAGGTACTTCTGAGTATTGGAGGTTAACAACAACAAAGGCCCTCTCTATAGAGGAAAGAGTACAAGTCAAGGAGGAGGACTCAAGTAGTTAATGTAATTAATAATGAGGAAAATATTTCTGATAAGTCAAATTATCATTTGGCCCTCCATGCTTATTCCTCAGGCATTTCCCCTTATCATTCAATGAGATTGCTTGTCCTGCTACAGCATGTGCAAGAGTCAGAATGACAATTCCATGGTTCTTGTGCCTCCAGTCCCGTATTGCTGCCTTTGGGCAGGTTAACCATTCAGTTCACATCATTCTTTTCCCCTAGCCCCAACAAAACCTCAGTATGCATCTTAACTCCAGTCTAGTGTTAAGGCTGTAACACTAACCCCCATTTATAGCAAATGCAGTCAGTGGCAAACAATGAGATTTTCCTTTTGGTTCTAGCCTTTGGAAGTCTATTTTATTTCATTAAGGAAAGTATCACTTCTCATTGTGCTGCAATGATACTACTGAAGTGGCAAGTGTTACTGCCTTCACTGACTGCCAACCTGAGAATGCTATTATCTGCTAGCTGCCAGTTAGTGCAATGTACATCTCCCATGTAGAAGTAAGTGCTGGGAAGGTAGGAGTTCAGACTTTCTAGGTGTGGGTAGAACAAAGAGGACAAGGAGAGTTATCATACCTGAAATGGAACATCAAAACCAAACCTCAGCCCTATCACTTCAGTTTTCCATCTGTTAGATTTTAAGTGTTTTGAAGACTGGAACCTCACTTGCAGTAAATACTGTTGTATACATATTGAATAAAGATGAATCAGAGTGAAAAAATGATGGTTGGCCAAGCCTTCTCCTCCATCATCTTTTATAGCCACAAGTGAATGCAGAGCATTTGAGCAAAATGAGATACAGTTTGAGGTTTTCAAAAATATTAATCAGGGGCCAGGGCTGTGGTTAAGCATCTGCCTGCAGTACCAGCATCCCATATGTGTGCCAGTTTGAGTCCTGGCTGCTGTACTTCTGATCCAGCTCCCTACTGATGGTCTGGGAAGGCAGTGGAAGGTGGTCTAAGGACTGACGCCCCTGCTCCTGTATGGGAGACCCAGAAGAAGCTCCTGGCTCCTGGCTTCCAATCTGCCCAGCTCTAGCCATTGTGGCCATTTGGGGAGTAAACCAGCAGATGGACGGCTTCTCTCTGTCTCTCACTCTCTCTGTATCTCTGCCTCTCAAATAAATAAATCTTTAAAAAATATTAATCAGGGGCAGGCACTTGACACAGTGGTTAAAACACTACTTGGAATGCCCACATGCCAAATTAGAGTATCTGAGTTCTGTTTTCCATTCCAGCTCCCTACTAATGCACACCCTCAGAGTTAGCAAGTGATGGCTCAATTACTTGGGCCCCTGCCACCTAAATGGGAGACCCAGTTTGAGCTCCAGGGCCCTGGCTTCTTTGACCTGGTACATCTCTAGCTGTTGTAGGCATTCGGGGAATGAACCAATGGATGAAAGATCTGTCTCCCCACCCCACCCCACCCCACCCCACCCCCGGTACAGCAGGGTAAGCTGCTACTTGAGACACCTGCATCCTATATCAGAGTGCCTGGAATCTGGTTCCTCCTCCATTTCCTCCAGCCTCTGGCTAATATGCCTCAGAGCAGCAGCAGCAAATGCTTGCCCAAGTACTTGGCTTCCTGCCACCCACATGAGAAACCTGGGTGGAGTTCCTGGCTTCAAGTTGGCTCAGTCCTGGCTGTTGCAGGCATTTGGAGAGTGAACCAATAGATGAAAGATTTTTCTCCCTCCCTCTCTCTCTCTGTCTTTCTGACTGTCACTCTGCCTTTCAAACAAATAAATAATCTTTCCTTTAAAAAATATTAATCATTCTGTTGCATGTTCATCACAGTATACTAATTACTCTTTTAATTATTACAAATATATCTGAAATAGTTCAAAAAGCAAGATATGTATGCAAAATTGCAACCTGTGAAAGGTGTGACAAAATAAAAGTTGTGATTCTAAATAATACTTCTTGATGATATATTGCCCAGGCCTTTACAATCAAGTTTTCTTTCCTGTGCCTTTTCCTGCAAAATTTAGGACCTTGCCTCCCCCATAAAGATGTCAGCATAGATAGACCCCAGTAGTTTACTCGCTTTGACCCTGCCCTCGGCAACAAACACAAAATAGATGAACCACCTCCCTGCTGCCCTAGCTCTTTCTTCAAGTACACACAGTCTGTTCTTTCTTGAGAAGTGGAAGAGGAAACATCTACCTTGGTTTAAATTGAATGTGAGGCAAAGGTAGAAAAGCAGTGATTAAAACTGTCCTCCCCAGTATTCTGCTTTCTCTGACCTCCCTCCATTTGCACTTCGTCTACCCAGAGCGCTCTCCTCTCCACCTGGGAAACTGCAGGTGATCCTTCAACAGCCTGTTGTCCGAATCCTTTCCCTGCCGCTCTCCTGCCCTTCCTACCTCCCATAACATCTCGACACAGCTCTTGGATAGCATTTGTCACATTGTGTGGAATTAGTATTTACAGATCTGCTTCCCCAACCAGACTGAACTCGTTCAGAGCAGATTTTATTTTAATATTGGTGTGTTTATCCCAGCACCTCACACATGGTAGCTGTTAAGTAAATGCTGTCATATTGAACTGAATCTTTATGGAGCTACTGTATTTCTAAGGTAAGTCAGGATGAGATCATGAAAGAGGGTACAGAACTTGAGATTGAGTACATAATTCTAAGGCATGCTTCAGCCTTCCAGACAAGGATTTTTTTTTATTCAGATGTATGAATTATAAGGAAAGCCACATGGGCTTCTAAGGCTGCACAGAAAGCACTGATATGGAAATGTAATGTAAGGCACATAAAGGAGAGGAAACCTACATCCTGGGCTGGTCCTGAGTTTCATGCCCTACTAGCACTATTGGTCTTCTTAACCTCCTAGTACTCATGTGGTGACCTTGATATATGTATCAGTCAGGATTCAAACAGGGCAAAAGAACCAATATAAAGAAGCAATATGATATTTGTGCAATAGAGAGTTTATTTTAGCAATTAGAATTTTTATAATCTTGGGTATAGATAGAGAAATAGGTCCAAAGGGGAGAACTGGAGACTCGGGAAAAGAAGTCACTGCTCACCCCTCCTAAAACAATAGCAAACATGGACAGGCTGGGCTTGCGGGGACATCTGGAAGGTTGCACATCTAGCTGCTGGAGTGAGGCTCTGGGAGGGTACAGGGTGGAGGAGTTGTGTGATGGCATAGAAGTCAGTGGAAGGCTGTTGCCTCTGCAGAGCTGCTGGTTCCATAAGTTTGCTGTCAAGTGTTTGGTGGTGGGTTTGGGGTCATTGGTCAGCAAGGCTGATAGTTATAAACACAGAACAGGGAAGAATAAGGACAAGCTGGAACTCAGAAGCTTCGTACACATGACTCTCACCACCTTTAACCACAGCAGCCTTCAGAAAGTTATGGCAGCTGCCTCACATGCATCTTCCGAATCTCTCATTGATTTCTTGTTTTGGCCACTTTGACCTTAGCCAGATAGGGAAATGCATTCTGGAAACTTCTTATTTAGCCCAGTTGACATAACATAAACCACAAGAATGTACCCCCAAATTCTGTAAATATATGATTTTCAGGTTTTTTTTTTAATTTATTGATTTACTCGAAAGGCAGTTACATGGAATGGGGGTGGGGAGATCTTCCATCTGCTGGTTCACTCCTCAAATGGCTGCAATGGCTGGAGCTGGACCATGCTGTAATCAGGAACCAGGAACTCCATCTGGGTCTCCTACATTGTTGGCAGGGACCTAAGAACTTGGGCCATCTTCCACTGCCTTCCCACATGCATTAGCAGGGAGCTGGATTGGAAGTGGAGCAGCTGGTACTCGAACCAGCACTCATACGGGATACCAGTGTCACCGGTAGCAGCTGAACCTGCTGCGCCACAACACCTGCTCCTAGTGCTCACTTGAACAGGAAAATCAGAGCTAAGGAACTTGTATGACTTTATTTTTTTAGAAAGTATGTTTAGGTATTGCCTAGTAATGTGCCTTCCCACCACACATTTCAGAAACAGAAATTGTTGACTGTAAATACTAACTACTACAGAAAATTGTAAGGTAATTATATAAGCATTTCCTTGTCTTTTGATGGTTAGCATAGAATAAGTACAGTTTTTAAAATGGTCATCTCCAGATATTCTGAAAAAGAACCTAAAGAGAAAAAGAAGGTAACGTTTATTGTGCAATATGCCAAGAACTTCTGTATGTCTCATTTCATTTAATTCATGTCCCAAACCTCTGAAGTCCCTAATAGTATAGTAACCCAGAACATCAAGTTCATATTAAAATGTTGAAAATACATCCAGAAATTAAAGTAATTTACATTCCAGTCAGGTTATCTTTTTCTCTTGGCTTAACTGGTTATTTTACCTTTCTTTTTAAAAAAAACTTTATTGAAAAAACAACACATACATTAAAGGATATAAAGTGACCTAATCTTAAGAGTACGACTCAATGAATTTTTACATATCTATGTATACATACATATAATTATCCAGATAAAAATACAGAGCCTTCCTAATACCCTTGATTGATTTTCCTTGGTCTCTTTGTACTTCCCAGGTAAACTGCCATATGTTTTGATTTTTCATTACAGTGGATGGTTCAGTTTTGAAACAGTGCTAGGAGAAGTAGACATTAGTTGTAAAGTGAAAATGCTAAATAGTGTGCCCCGTAACTGCCTGGAACTACATCTACTCATGTCACTTTCTCTTTCTGCTTTTACCCTAAAACAGGTAATCAGATCCTGTCCCTGGGGAGCCTCTCAAAAGATCAAATGTATCCAATGAAACTCAAGGGCATCTCCATCTGCTATTCAGCTCTCAAATCTGCCTTGTGTGGAAATTATGTCAGCTTTGGCGTCTTCAAGTTGTATGGGGACAACCATTTTGACAATGTACTCCAGGCCTTTGTCAAAATGCTGCTGTCAGTGTCCCACTGTGACTTGCTAGTAAGCATTCGTGCATCCTGGGAGTCTTTGTGTGAAACGTGAAGCGTCGTCACCACAGGCCTCGAAGTGTTGCAGGGAAGCCCAGGGAGTTAGAACGACACCTGGACGTTTCATGTTTTAAGACAGCATACTTGATCTCACTTAGAGAATTCGGACAACCATAGGGGCTGTATTGATGTAACTAAACGTACAGTTTAGAAAGATGCAGCCAACATTTTCTGGTAAATTGGTCAGCCATTGTGCTCGAGGTCTTCTGCATATAGAGAAAATGTAATTAGCAGTTTTGGCTAATGACTTACAGCCGTATTCACAATGCAGAAAAGAACTGTTTGCTGGATTAGGACTGGCTGCAGAGCTTCCCCTTCAGTGCACTCTGACTTCCCCTCCATCCATGTCCACGAGAGCTCAGGTGTGGTACACGGAGTGCCAGCCCAAAAGCTGAGCAACCTGGTGTATAATCAGCTCTGCCACTTACTGGTCATCTACCTCGAATTCATCTCCTGTTTCTCCAGGCTTCAGTTTCCTCCCTTTTAAAACAAGTGGATTAAACTGAGTGATTTCTAGATCCCTTTTCTGCTCGGCTGTTGGGGAGCTATGGTTTATGTCAGTAAAGTGTATTTTTAATAAGCACTCCACATGATTCTTATGAAGGTGCGCTTCAGACGTTCAAGCCCATCAGAAATACCTGAGGTGCTTGCTGAAAATTCAGATTCACAGCCCCTCCACTGAGCTGTCAATTGTCAGATTATTTTTTTTTTAATCTCTGCCTGATTACCCAGAAGCTGATATGTACCTGGTGTGGTACAGCAGTAATGACTTGGCGGTAATTATTTAGGTGGCAATCAAATTCACGTTCAGGCTTACTTCATACTTTCTCACCGGTTCCCCCTAGATCACAGTTAGGATCTGGAGACCACTTGTTGGTCAGTCTGTGTGAGAAGCGATCCTTGATCATTTGCAACCTGCTTTCCCCTTCCTAAGCTAACCTACACAGGACCACAGCCAGACCAAAGTTGTTCATCCTCCTTATGGGAGAATGCAGTTCTCATCGAAGGCCAGGCCAGTGTGACAGAAATCACAAAGGCAAAACTTGAGTCCAGTCAGCCACGTGGTACAGCCACCTCGTTGAGGGGACTCCTCACCACAGTTGAAGTCCAGCAAGAAAACTGGTGGGGTTCAAGGACTTTTCTCTTCCCTCTTCTCTGAATGAAGCAATGTCCAATTCAGCAATTCTCAAACTTGAGAACGCTGTAAGATTCTTAGCATCTGTGTCACAAGTGATGTTTCAGAGCCTTATACCAGAGCTTTTCACTCAGCCTGGGGTGGGGATCAGGAAACTTTTTTTTTTTTTTTTTTTTTTTTTTTTGACAGGCAGAGTTAAACAGTGAGAAAGAAAGAGAGACAAAGAGAAAGGTCTTCCTTCCATTGGTTCACCCACTAAATGGCTGCTACGGCCGGCACGCTGCACTGATCCGAAGCCAGGAGCCAGGTGCTTCCTCCTGGTCTCCCATGAGGGTGCAGGGCCCAAGCACTTGGGCCATCCTCCACTGCACTCCCGGGCCACAGCAGAGAGCTGGACTGGAAGAGGGGCAACTGGGACAGAATCCGGTGCCCCAACCGGGACTAGAACCCGGAGTGCCAGCGCCGCAGGTGGAGGATTAGCCTAGTGAGCCATGGTGCCGGCCTAGGCAACTATAACAAGTACCCCAAGTGATGTTTGTGGAGGAAGTCTTAATGTCACGTTAAGAAATGCTGTTCTGGTTTATCTGTGTTACAAGCTTTGTGCTTCTTTGATACTGTATTGATTGGATTGCAATTGAAGTTTTCAAGTATCTTTCTGATGTACTTATCTTATGCCTACAGTATATGGTAAAAATTAAGCCTATTTACCAAATAATAATTTACTTAGATGGGTTGGCATTGTGTATATACAGATTATGATACCAAAGCCTATTACAGTAGCAAGTTTCTTTGTGTTTATAAGACAAAAAAAAAAATAAGGTTGCCTAGCCACTCTTTAGCACTGTTCAGTGTTCAGAATATTCCAGTATAGAAAAATGACTCACACAGTCTTCCCTGTCATACTGCAAGGCTTTTGCTTGAATGTTAGTGTTAACCATACAAAGTCAAGTGGAAATAGCATACCATGTTATAGCTTCAAATTGAGGTTTCTGGAGATCGAGAGATTCCTAATAGAACCCCTTTAAATGCTGAATTGGGAATCTTTATGTCATGTGTTCTATATAGTTATTGACCTTGTGTTTAAGTTTACAATTTCCAGTATTATAAATGGCAATTTCCACTGAATCGTAGCCTGTCTTTTTCTTCCCTGTGGCTTGACATTTAGTGTATCTCTGTGTTGTAGCAATATCGGAAACTGAGCCAGTCTTATTATCCACTCCTGGAATGTCTCACCCAGGACCACATGAGCTTCATCACCAACTTAGAGCCTCCTGTGCTCCTGTACGTCCTCACGTCCATCTCCGAGGGCCTCACTACTCTCGGTAAGGATCCTGGGGAGCGCCGTTCCCGGTGAAACGCTTGACTGTGGTCGCTTCGCTGTGTGTGCTTCCTGAGACTCTCATCCTATAAAGCAGAAAAAAAATTAGGAAGCCAAACTACAGATTATTTTATAACTTTTATTTATAAGTGGAAAGTGTATTTTTCCATATTTTCTTACACAGTGTTTTAATCAGGTTTATTGAGGTATAATTTGCATACAATGAAATTCGCTGATTTTAAGTGAACAGTTCAGTGAATCTTGACGAATGTATACTCACAAAATCATGAACGACAGCAACCAATATATAGAACATTTTCATCATCACAAAAAGCTCCCTTATGTCCCTTCTAATCAATCCCTTCTCCCTGCTCCCAGCCCAAGGGGACCGCTATCTGCTTTCTCTCACTATAGTTTGCCTTTTCCAGAATCTCATATAAATGAAACCATATAATATGAAGTTATCTATGTCTGGCTTCTTTAATTTAACATAATGCCTTTGAGATTCATCTGTGTTGTTTTGTAACCAGTTAGTTTGTTCCCTTCTATTGCTGTATGTAACTCTGCTGTGAGGATTACTATAGTCTGTCCACTCATTCACCCACAATGGATGTTTGGGTCGTTTCTGTTATTCACTATTTTGAATACAGCCATAGTGAACATTCGTATACAATTCTTTATGTGGCCTTTTTAAAAAATTTCCTTTAGGTAAGTGCCTAGCAGTGGAATTTCTGGTTTATGTTTAGTATTTTAAGAACTGACAAACTCTGCCTAGGGAACTGTACCATTTTGCTCCTGCCAGCAGTGTATAAGGATTCCAGTTGCTCCATATCCTCACTGATACTTACTACTCTGTCTTTTAACCTGAGCCTTCCTAGCAGATGAGAAGTGTAATCTCACTGTAGCTTTAATTTGCATTTCACTAATGAATATGATTTAAGCATCTTTTTATGCTTATTTGCTATTCATGTATCTTCTCGGTGAAGTTTTCTTTTTTTACTCATTTGTTTAACTGAGTTTTTAATTTTATTACTAAGTTATAAGAATTGTTATATTTTCTGGATACAAATTCTATATCACATACATGTTTTGTAAATATTTTTCAGCATATGGTTTGTCCTTATGCTTTCCTAACAGTATCCTCTGAAGAACAAAAGTTTTCAATTTTGAGGAAATTCAATTTTTTTATTATTTTGATTCATGTTTTCTGGTCTTATTCCAAAAAATTTTTGTTTAACCCAAAGCCATAAAGGTTTCATCTGTTTTCTTCTAAAAGCTTTTTAGGTTTAACTCTGATATTAAAGTCTATGATGCATTTGGACTTAATTTTGTATATGGTAGGAGGTAAAAGATGAGATTCTTCATTAACATATAGATATTCGATTGTCCCAATTCCTTTTGTTGAGAATATCTTTTACCCCATGGATTACCTTGTGCCAGTATTATATTGCCATAGTTTTATAGTAGACCTTATAGTCAGGTGGTATAACCCTCTGGTTTTGTATTTCTGTTTTAAAAATTTTCTTGGGGGCTGGCGCTGTGATGTAGCAGGTAAAGCCACCGCCTGCAGTGCCAGCATCCCATATGGGCGCCGGTTCAGGTCCCAGCTGTTCCACTTCAGATCCAGCTCTCTGCTGTGGCCTGGGAAAGCAGTAGAAGATAGCCCAAGTCCTTGGGCCCCTGCACCCATGTAGGAGACCCAGAAGAAGCTCCTGGCTTCAGATCAGTGCAGCTCCGGCTGTTGCAGCCAACTAGGGAGTGAACCATCAGATGGAAGACCTCTTTCTTTGCCTTTCCTTCTCTCTATGTAACTCTGACTTTCAAATAAATAAATAAATCTTAAAAAAAAAAAAAGCTGGTAAATTTCACAGTTTTGCATAGCAACTAACACCTCAAATGTCCAGACTTCAGCAGGGAGTGAGGGAACACAGACACCCAAGATCCTGCTAATAGAACATAAGTCAGGGTTCAGGAGCCTGAAGTTCAAGCTCCTGGCTCCAGGCTTTGGATCAGCACAGCTCTGGCCATTGCAGCCAATTGGGGAGTGAACCAGTGGATGGAAGTCCTCTCTCTCTCTCTCTTTCTCTCTCTCTCTCTGCCTCTCCTTCTCTCTGTATAACAATAAGGATTTATTTTAAAAAATTTTTTCTTGGCTATTCTAGGCCTTTGCATTTTTATGTAAGTTTTAGCTGTGTTTCAAGACTTATTTATTCATGAGAAAGGCAGAGTTAGAGAAAGGAAGAGACAGAGAGACAGAGTTTCCATCTGCTGGTTCACTCCCCAAACAGCTGCAACAGCCGGTGCTAGGCAAGGCTAACACCAGGAGCCCAGAACTCCATCTGAGTCTCCCACATAGGTGGTAGGGGCCCCGGGGCATCTTCCACTGTTTTAACAGGCACATTAAGAGGTAGCTGGATTAGAAGTGGAGCAGCCTGGACTTGAACTGGAGCTTATATGGGATGCTGGCCTAGTAAGTAGTGACTTAACTGTGCCACGGTGCCAGCCCCTAGAATCAACTTGTCCATTTCTCTTGGTTAAAAAAAAAATAGGGAAATTTCGACTGGGATTTGATTTATATTTCAGTTCACATAATTAATTTTTTTAACAATATTGAGTGTTCAATTCTAGAAAAATAGCAATCTGTTCCATTATTATTTAGATCTTCCATAACCTTTCTCAATTGTATTTTTGTGGTTTTGAATTTGTGAGTCTTATACATATCCTGTTGTATTTATAACAATATCTTTTGGTTTTTTAATGGTACTTTGAATGATATTAAAGTTCCCAATTTTCTTCACTACCGTGTATAATTGTAATCAGCTTTCTTGTATATTGATTCTGTGTCCTGCAGCTTTGCTAAGCTCATTAATTCTAGTAGCCTTTTGTGTATTTCTTAAGATGTTCTACATAGTTGTTTCTGCAAATATAGAGTTTTACCTCTTCCTTTTCAGTCTGTATGGCATTTTTTCTTGCCTTATCAGACTGGGCAAAACTTAGAATGCTGCAATGTTGAATAGAAATAATAATAGCAACAATTTTTCTTGTCTCCAGTGTGAGGGGGAAAGCATTCAGTCTTAATATCATTCAGTATAATGTTAGGGTTTCTCATAGATGCTTCTTATAGTTTTTTTTAAAAAGATTTTATTTATTTATTTGATAGGTAGAGTTACAGACAGTGAGAGGGAGAGACAGAGAGAGAGGTCTTCTATCCACTGGTTCACTCCCCAGATGATCATAATGGCAAGGGCTGCACCAATCTGAAGCTAGGAGCCAGGAGCTTCTTCCAGGTCTCCCATGCAGGTGCAGGGGCCTAAATGCCTGGGCCATCTTCTGCTGCTTTCCCAGGCCATAGCAGAGAGCTGGATTGGAAGAGAAGTAGCTGGGACTAAAACCGGTGCGAATAGAGATGCCAGTGCTGCAGATGGAGGCTTAACCCACTGCACCATAGCACCAGCCCCAACATTTTTATAGTCTTGATTCCCCTATATTTGTAGTTTTCTGAAGGTATTATCCTGAATGGATGTTGAATTTTATATAATGCTGTTTTTGCATCAGTTGATATGATATATGGTTTTTATTTTTCAGTCTGTTAATACATATACATCAATATTAATCAATACATTGAATGATATTCAGATGCATTCCATACTTCGTTATGATGCATTACTGGATCCACTTTGCTAAAATTTTAATTCAGATCTCTGTATCCATATTCATGACAGATACCCATGTGTTTTTCTATAGGTGTTATATAGCTTTCTGTTCTTCTCATAGCTTTGCTACATTTTAGTGTGAATCTAGTACCCTCATAAAATGAGCTGAGAATGTTCCCACCTCGCCTATTTTCTCAAAAAAATTCTGTAGGATTACTATTAGTTCTTTCTTAAATGTTTGATAGAGTTCCTCAGTGAAACTATCAGGCCAAGATTTTTCTTTGTTTGGAAGGTTTTGAGCTACAAATTAGATTTCTTTCATAGACACCTTATTATTATTACTGCTTTCTTAGCTGATTTAAAAATATGGAATGCTTCATGAATTTGTGTGTCATCCTTGCGCAGGGGCCCTGCTAATCTTCTCTGTATTGTTCCAATTTTAGTATATGTGCTGCCGAAGCAAGCACTCATAGATACATTATTATTCCAGTTATCAGTTACATCTTGAATGGCATTTGGTAGTATGTCTTCAAAGGAATTTGTCCATTTCATCTAGAGTTTATGTAACATCATTGGATTGAAATTGTTCAAAATGCTTCCCTTATTATCTGATTTCATGTCTGTAGGGTCTGCAGTGATGTCCCTCTTTAATACCTGATATTGGCAATATGAATTTTCTCTATTTTTTCTTGGTCATTCTGGCTGTTTATCAGTTGTATTGCAAAAACTATGTTCAGTTATTTTTTTCTCTCTTTTCTGTTTTTAGTTTACTAAAGTGTGCTTAAGTTTGCAAGACCTTTTCTCTTTTTAGTTTTTTCATATAGAAGCTTAAATCATTACATTCAGACCTTTCTTTTCTACTATACATACTTGATGCTTTAAGCACTGCTATACCTGTACTTTACATATTTTGATATATTTTGTCTTTATTTTTACTCAGTTCAAAAATGTTTTCTAATTGCCCTGCTGTTTTTTTTTCCTACTGTTTTTTTAACTGATGGATTGATACATAAAATAATCACATTGTTTAATTTTCAAGTATTTGGAGATGTTCTTGATTTCTTTCTGTGATTGGTTCTAGCTTTGTTCCAATGTGTCAGAATGTTCTCAATTATTTTTATACCTTTTAAGTTTATTGAGATTTAATGATCCAAAATATTGTGAATGTTTCACAGACACTCAAAATGAAGTGTATTCCATGGTTGGGAAGAGTGTCCTTCTAAATAAATAAATATATATATATATATATATATATATATATATAGAAAGGCAGAGTTACAGAGTTACAGAGAGGCAGAGGCAGAGAGAGAGAGAGAGAGAGAGAGAGAGAGAGATCTTCCATCTATTGGTC